CCGCCCGCCCCGCCCGCTCCCGCGGCGGCCGAGAAGGCGCCTGTGCCCGTGGAGGAGCCGCCTCCCGTGGAGCCGCCGCCTCTTGCGGAGCCTCCAGTTCCCAAAAAGTCTCCTCGAAAAGATAATAAAAAGGAAAAGTCTAAGGCGCAGAGTGAAATGGCAAGGAAGGAGCAGGTCCTCATTGAAGTGGGCTTAGTGCCCGTTAAAGACAGCCAGCTTCTCAAGGAAGGTGCAGGCGCGCCGGATCGCGCACCGGATCGCGCACCGCCAGCACTGTCGTTGCCAAAGGGACACGCAGAAGAGGGGTCAGAAGACCAAAAAGCTCTCGCCGAATGTGGAGGAGCTCAAGACGCAGAAGCAGAAGAGGCAGAGAAGAGCCTAGCCGGTCTTGCTGCTGTTGCCAAGGAGTCTGCCAACATTTCCTCCTCTGAACAAAACTTGAATGTGCTGGAGGGTGAAACTTTAGATGGTAAACATCAGGCCGACGCAAGGCTTTGCGAAATGGATACGGATACAGATGAGAACAAAACAGAGAATCCCCCTGGGAAAGACTCAGCAGTCGGAGAACCAGTTTCACCACTGCTTCCCCCCCAGCCAACAGAAAAACCAGAAGCAGTGTCTAAAACTGCTGTGGCATCACCTCCTGTTACCATGGCAGTAAATGAGTCTCAGGAAATGGATGAAGATGAAGGCATCCACAGTCATGATGGAAGTGACCTCAGTGACAACATGTCAGAGGGTAGTGATGATTCTGGACTAAATGGGGCCCGGCCAGTTCCACAAGAAAGGAGTAGGAAAAACGCAGAGGAAGCCTTGACAGTCAACAAGGTGGCTGAGGGAGACTTTGTTTGTATCTTCTGCGATCGGTCTTTCAGAAAGGAAAAAGATTACAGCAAACACCTCAATCGCCATTTGGTTAATGTATACTTCCTCGAAAAAGCAGCTAAAGGGCAGGAGTAATTAAACTTTGGAAAGGTTTCAGTTCTTAGTTTGTAAGATCCTATTACATTTTATATTCATTTATACTAGTAAACCTTTTAATTTTAAAATTGCTTTAATTAGTGTCCAATGTTGATTTTTAAGTGGCACTCTTTTTCTTAGGACTCTGTATACCTATTGTATAAATTTTAGCAAATCCAAGGGAGTAAGTGTACTAAACCAACAGACACCTAAATCTGTTAGCTTACGCATTTAGTTGAAGCTAGGCGGCTAGCGTGGTGTTACAGCATTCTGTTGCTTTGTCTAGCTGTAACTTGTCAGTATCCCCCTCATGTCTGTCTTCCTGATTCAGTTTAGTTTATTCTTAGTTTCTTGTTTAGCTCTATAAAAATTGGCATACTTAAATAGCAAATTACTTGAAGAATTTGCCTGCTTTATATAAAGTTAGCACTTTAAAATTTTTTTAGAGATGAGAAGAGACATTTAAATTGAAGAAAAATTCTCCAAACAATGGACAATGTTTCAGTCCAGGTATTTCCTGAGTATTGATCAATATTTCTTATTTGTGTATGTTAATCGTCATAAAAACTGATTTTGGTGTTTCTTTTTATTTTTTATTTTGGTGCTTTAATGGCTTAAGATATTGCACATTGTGTTCTTTTAACCTATGCAGTTAAAATTTTTCCTAGAAATAGCATTTATGTCGAACAGTAACACTTTATACACATAATGCATGTTTGCTTTGTCCTCTTTGGAGGGATGCTGTTAGTCTTGTTTTGCAAAAGGGCAGTTTTTCTTTTGCTGCAATTGTCTTTTTTTGCAGAATATTAGTGTGTGCAAGTTTGTGAGCAAATGAAACATACAGGTTCAAGTTATTGATTTTGGTTTTTACATCTTATATCTATGCCAGATCTGTATTTCATATAAGTTATTTATTTTAAATGGGTGTAGTAAATTTACAGCTCTCAGTTTGAACTTCACAATAAATGAACCACTAGGCTCTATTGAATGGATTTTCCCCTCAAATACCAACCATAAGTAAAAGTTATTGGCCTGTTTTAGTACAGCTACTACTTAAATGTACAGTGTTAGGTTGTATCTTTGAGGAAAACCTTTTTTCATAGATGGTTGGTGTCCGTATGTCGACTCAGCCGAGTAAAGAATTATAAGTGACATTTGGAAACTGCAAACCTAGATTTTGGAGACATAAATTGTACAGAATATCAGTTGTGAGATTCCAAAGCCATAGCAATTATACGAAAAACCTAGGATGAGACAAAGGTAGTATGAGTGCTGGTAGACCAGCTGCTACTTCCTATGAATATAATGAAAAAGGCTGGTGAACCTTAATTACGGTCCGCATTTAAAAATCACACTTTCTCAGGGATCTCCACAAATGAGTGGGTTTCCTGGCTGTCCTGGGGACAGCCTCTTTCTACAGGTGAGGCCTCAAATGAATTGCAGCTATCCTGGTGTTCCTATGGGGATACTCTGTATGAAAAATAGTGTGTACTCACAAACTTTTTAGGTAGATTCTTTGGCCAGTCTCAAAGAATATGAAAGAATCCAATATAGGATTTTTCTTGCTGATAATAGTTATTCATTGCAGTAAAAATAAACTATGATCCCAGTAGGGAATCTTGAACAATTCTGGTCTTCCATTTTCTATTCTGAAATAACCACTTTGTTTCATTTATTATTATTTTTGTCTGGTGATTATTTTGAGGCGCAGGTTTCAGAGTTTGGCAGTGCAACATGAAAAAGATTAGGAGAAGCGTTGATGAAGTGTGGGTGGAAAACTCGTTAAAAATCGGAGAGTGAAGTTTGAGTTAAAAGACATTTGAACTTTGAATTGACTGGGAGGCCAAAGATTCAAAGAAGATGATACTCTCAAGACATGAGTAAGTTGCGTGTTAATGGTGTATGTTTTGTGTGCGTGAATGGGAATTTGTAAATGATGTTGAATTCTAGGTGAATTCTTGGCTCCGACAATCATTGTCAACAGAAGATCAAGCTGCAAATATTTATGTTTTAAAAGTTAAATTATAAAGCTAGTTAAATTTAACAACTAGTTTTGATGTTCATGGGTACATTTTATGTAAGTTGCCTTTTACATTATATATGAAAAGATTCATGTTAAGTACAGATTGGAGATTGGGAATCAGTTTGGGGGTAGAGGTTTTTGTGGATTCTTTCATACTACAAAAGAAAAAATTGACTTATGGGAAATTGGGCTTATTTTGTCTAGTTTTAAAGACTAGACCGCTAAAAACAAAAATATGAAGGAAATTAAAACCCTTTATTAAACTAATCTTTGAAAATATTGTTACTGAAAATTGTGTAGGACTTGAGGCCTTTCTTCCAGAAAACAAGGACTTGATTGTCAGGCCTATATTAGGTTCTGAACCTTAATGCCATGTATTTATACTTATTAAAAATTGTTTCAGTGAAAAGCATATTAGTAATTCGAACTTCTGGTCTAGTTGGGAGTTCTTCCATTTGAAAAATGTGATATTTGCATGGAACTGTTTGAATCTTTTTGTTTTCTCAGTTTCCCCTCCACTGGATAGAATTTAAGCTAGAATTTACCCTTTTGATAAAGGAATAAAAAGTGAACATGTTATTTGTAAATTGGTGTTTAGTAACTAGAGATAAACTTGAAATACTAGAATACATTATAAGCCTAATCCTAGGTAGTCTTATGAAAATGTATCACTTAACTGTCTTTTGAATCTGTATTGTTTTCAAGATATTTTAAGTTATATTTTTTTCCTCTTCAGAGCTGCTTCTTTGGGGCTTTTTTAAAAAATTGAAGTGTAATTCACAAGGGGCAACATTTTTTGACAATAACTATGACTCGATGTTTTCTCTAGTCTTCCAAGAAGGGTCATTTTATTTTTTAGAGTCACTTCTGAAGTCCTGTGGTCTTTAACTTTGGGGACTATTTTGCATATGAGTGCTAATAAATATTTAAACCCAAGTAGACCTCATCACATGTCACCCTATGAATGTTGACAATGGAAGGACTACCTTGCCTGTAGTATAAATATCAGTTCTGGACTGAAGCTGGGGAAGAAATATAATTTTCTTTTTTGCATAAGTCAGAAAAATAGCTAATGTATGGAGTTTCCTTGTTGACCTCAGCAGATAAACTGAGCTGATAGTGTTAATTCAGATTCAGGAAATTATCTGAATCTTGGTTTGTGTAGATTTGCAATCTACATGCAATAACTAAATCAAATAGCTTTTACAGTTTCACATGTGTACATAGGCTCTCCCCTTTCTTTTCAGCATCCATTAGTTATTGAACTTTGTAAACTGGCGTTGAAACATTGCAACACTGTTTTGTTGCACCAATTTTATAAACTTTTACAGTGCAATACGTGTTATTTTTCAGACAAACCAAAGGTTAATTTCTCAAGGTTCTTGCTGCCTGCTTTAGCAGCATTTGGAGGATCTTTTATATACATTTGTAATAGATGAAAAATAAAACATTGCAAATTTTTTTTCTTCTTTTTTTTAAATGCTTAAACCATGTACCAAGTTTTTGGTCCAAATCATGTAAAATAAGTTAAACTTAAATTGCATTCTATTAACCAATATGAGTGTATTTCTATAAGCATAGTTATGTTGAAATAAAGTTTTAAAAAGCATATTATGCCTTTGTTTATTATTGGTACATCAGGTATCAAGGAAGCCAAATGTATTTTGCTGGAATTGCAAGTGTATTAACAATTTCCTAAATTACTTTCTCCAGATAACCCATAATATATAAAAAGGTCATGGCAATTTTGATTGCTTGGGGTAACAGTCCAAAGCATATCTTGTTCTGTGCTTTCTGGGAGGTGGAGGTTGGGGAGAAACAATGAGAGGACAATTTGTAGAAGGTTTTATATAGTAATTTCTTCCCAACCACAAGTCACCTTAACAGAACTTGTCCCTTCGCAGTGGCAAGCCTGGTGTTAGTAAATTTTGAAAGTTGAGGTACAAAAATTTTTTTTATTGATTTCAGAGAGAGGGAGGGAGGGAAACATCAATGATGAGAGTCATTGATCACCTGCCTCCTGCACGCCCCCAACTGGTGATCGTGCCCGCAACCCGGGCATGTGCCCTGACCAGGAATCAACAGCAATCTCCTGGATCACAGGTCGATGCTCAGCCACTGAGTCATGCCCTGGTGGGCATGTTCACTTTTATTCAAGCACTTAAAACAGTATCTGGTCCTTAGTAGGGAAATACTTGTTACTCGCTTAGGCCAAGAATTCTGTGTGTGATAAGTGTATCTCCTTGTTTTCAATGAATGAATATACAGTAGTAGTTTCACTGTATTTTTAAAATTCTGATAATGCAGAAATCTCTTGGTTCATGGACAGATTGGGTATTTTTTACTGCATGCCTTAACAAGACAAGGACTGTCAACCCAAGTAGTAGGAAATAGCAAATCTTAAGAAAGACACTTGAAGAAAAACTATTTTGAGGAGGGTGAAGAAACTATTTTGAGGAGGGTTCAAACTTACAGAGAAGTTGCAGGAATGCTCCCCTTAAAATCTGTACCCCTCCCTCGGATTCGTCATTCTCATTTGCTTTCTATATGTATTACTTGCTGAACCATCATAAATTAAGTTGCAAGCATACCTCTTAATATTTGTTTTAGTTTGTATCTCCTAAGGATATGGGCATTCTATTGCACAACCACACTAAGTCAAATTCAGGACTTTTTAAGATTGGTGTATCATTGAATACACAGTCTGTTCGAATTGTGACAAATGTCTTAATACCATCTTCTAACAATCTCCCTGTTCCTAATCACCCATTGCATTCCATTGTCACATCTCTTCATTCAGTTTTCTTTAATTTGGAACAGTTCCTTTTTGTCCTTAATGACAAGACTCTGAAGAGTACATGGCAGCTGTTTCAAAAATGTTCCTTAATTTGGATTATTTTGATTGTTTCCTCATGCTTTTGGTTATGCATTTTGTCACAAATACTAAACTATGTGCATTAACGACATAGGAAGGCACATGATGTCAGTTTATTCCCATTATTGGTTGTTATCTTTTATTATTTGGTTAAGGTGTCCACCAGATTTCTCCACTGTGAAGGTATTTTTCCCTTTATAATTAATATTCTGTGGGAGGATATATTGAAACTATCTTACTCCTCAATGAGCCCAATTAATTTTTTGTTAATCCTCACCAGAGGATTTTTTTCCATTGATTTTTTTGGGGTGGGAGGGGGGAGAAACATTGATTGGTTGCCTCCCACATGCACCCCTACTGGGGCAGGGATCAAACCTCCAACCTAGGTACGTGCCCTTGACCGGGAACCAAGCCCATGACCCTTTGGTGAGTAGGCCAATGCTCTAACCGCCAAACAACACCTGCCAAGGCGAACCCAATGATTTTTGCTCGACTCTCAGACTTTCTATATAAGCTGTTATTCTCCTGATTGGTAGTTCCGTTCTCCCTGGAGACTCAGGTTCTTCTCATGTGTAACCTGGCAGTCATTCACTTTACTTCAGTTCAGCCAGTGGGGGGGCGTGCAGGAGGCAGCCCATCAATGCCATTTTCAGCTCCCCTAAATGAGACTTCTTACATAAGGATTCTTTCTTACAACCAAATACTTTGGAACTCAGGTATATAACATTTCTCTCTGCTTAAGTCATAACAGTACTATAACATTTTTTCAGCACTTGATGGAATGTCTTAAGGGTTAAACTGCAAGTGGAAATTTACTAGTGGTCAAGATTTCCCACCAGAAGGGGAAATTCTAGAGGACAATAACTTAATTCTTTTATTGATTTTTGAAATATCACACTTTTTGTTTCTTTTTCTGTGTGCTCTGATTTTTAAAATATCACATAACGCATACAGAACTATATTCTCATAAAATTTAAACGAAATCTATCTTGACTAGCTTTCTACTAACCCTGTTACTCAGTTTTTTCCCTTACTCATTTCTTTAGAGTTAACTACTATTGATGGTTTTCTGATAATTGTTCACCACCATATGTGTGTGCATTTTGGAATGCCTGATTTCTGTGCTTTTTACATATGGTTATTGATATCCTGCAGTTAGCAAAACTCTTAATTTGAAGATCTTTGTTGGTAGTTAAGGACCTTCATCATTCTTTATAACTACTGCATAATGTTCTGTAGTTATTAATGTCTTTTTTTACATCCTTATTGCCAAAATTTGTTGACAATCTGGAAGTATTTTGGAGTGGAACCCATGTGAAGTGAGTGGTTCAGAGGATCCATAATTTTTTTAATATATATTGATTTCAGAGAGAGGAAGGAAGAGGGCGAGAGAGAGATAGAAACATCAATGATGAGAGAGTCATTGATCGGTTGCCTCCTACACGCCCCCGACTGGGGATTGAGCCCACAACCGGGCATGTGCCCTGACCGGGAATCGAACTGTGGTCACCTGGATCCTATGCTCAACTGCTGAGCCAGGCGCAGCCAGGTGACCCATGATTTCTTAAACCTTACAAGTTAAGTTTATGCTTGTGTTCTTAAGATAGAACTTTCAGATTTGCCAGTAGTAGTCAAGTCTTACACTCTTTTTAAAAAAATATTTTTTTATTGATTTCAGAGAGAAGGGAGAGAGAGAGAGAGAAACATCTATGATGATAGAGGATCATTAATCTGCTGCCTTCTGCACGCCCCTGACTGGGGATTGAACCCGAAACCTGAGCATGTGCCTTGACTGGGAATTGAACCATGATTTGGATCATAAGCCGATGCTCAACCGCTGAGCTACACCAGCCAGTCAAGTCTTACACCCTTTATGCTAATGTTTGTGTTTTTTTCCCCCACCACACAGATGTATGTATTTGGAATATTTAATTTAGTGTTATTTTAAAATAATGAATAACGTGTCCGACATCTAACGTTCAGCATAGGTACAGTTGGGGAATAGTCACCTTGGCACTGAACCTTACTGGGGTGAATATATTAAATTACAATTTAATAAAGCAGAGGTTCCTACATGAGCATGTGCTACAACCTTAGCTGAAGCTCAGCTAGGTCTGGACCAGTGTGGGGAGCCCAGTGGGAGTCTTACTTGCATGAAAGAAGAAAAGATTTTTCTGACAAGATATAGCTTACCTTAAAATATTGAGAACAGGCAAGTTTACTCAGTAGCAAGCGTGGGTCCTTGGAGTTAGAAGGAGCTGAGGTAACTGGTGATTGCAGCGCCTATACTCCGGAGGCAAGGGCGGTAATGCTCGTAAGCGGTGTTTGAAGCACCGAGAGAGCCTCTTCGGTAGGGCCACTAGTGGACGTAATTCCATGGTCAGCAGTGGCAGCAGCTGTGTGAGGAGACGTTGCATGTGGCTGCTCGTGCGTAGAAGTGGGAAATTCCATTAAAGGGAGCTGTTTGGGAGGAAGAAGGTGGCTCATTTCGTGTTAGAGGAGGCAGGCCTTAGTCATGAGTCAGGTGAGTCACCTGGGGATCCCCAGAAATGAGGAACATTTTGCCTGAGACTGGAGATCTTGCATTAGCATTAGGAGTAATCCTACATGTACTAGAGCCAAGCATTGTTCTAACCACATTACATTGACTTAATCCCCTTAACATCCTGAAGAAAAGATTTACTCCCCTCTTGCTTCCTAAAGACAGTTGCCTGATGTCACACAAGTAGTAAATGGCAGGTCTGTGCCACAGTCTGATTAAGTGAAGAATATAATGTGGGGAAATGGGTGCTAATATATATATATATATATTTAATATCTCTATTGATTTTAGAGAAAGGAAAGGAGAGGAGGAGAGAGAAACATCAATGATGAGTCAGCTGCCTCCTGCACGCCCCCGACTGGGCACATGCAACCTGGGCATGTGCCCCGACCGGGAATCGAACCTTGTTCTGAATCCTAGGTCGACACACAACCCCTGAGCCATGCCCAGGGGATGTCAATATTAATATGATACAGAGGGCTCTGTTTAAATAGTCTTCCCTCTATCATAACATCTAACCAGTTTATATTTACTAAAGACCTTCAGAAGCTTACCAGCAGTAAGATTAATTACACCAAACTAGGGTAAAACAATTGTGCCCTGATTCTGTTTATGCCTACAACTGAGTATAAGCTGGCATTTTTAGATAAGTGGCTATATTCATCATGTAGGTAGCTATTTGAAAATGCTAAGATAAGCTGCTATATTCACGATGTAGTAGCTATTTGAAAATGTTAAGAACTGGATTTACTTGAAAATGTCCTTGGTTCTTGGGCCTTGTGAGTCTGCTGTATTGTAGGCCTGGCATTCTCCCATCTGATCCATTTATTAGAGTACCACTTGAGTTGCAGACACTTGCAGGAGGTTGATGCCTCTCAGTCTCCCAAAATTGATAGTGGTGGAGACATACCTAACTAAACAGGATATCCATAATAGACAGCAGGAAAGGTGAGAGCAGCAAACAGCCTTGACATGGGTGTCTGCTTGCTTGGTATCCACCAGACAGACACACACACACATAGCACACCCTCCTGTAAACTGCACTAACACTGGCTGGAGTTCTGGCTGATAAGCAGATGGCTTACTGGCAAGCAGCCCCAGGTCAGCTCACCCCATGCAGATGAAGGCGGAGGGTACAGACTTATTTCAGGGCCTTGGTGAATGTCAGAAGGGCCCCTTGTGGAGGTAGATC